AATTACGAATGGATTTCTTCATTAATCTCTTGAAACACTTTTTACAATGAATATTAATTTTTCATAGGAACGTGATCAGTAAACAAACCATTATTGTATTTCAGCCATATCCGTTGATTCGCCAGACGGCAAGCATTAATCCGGACGCTTTTGGGATTTCTATCTGTTCCACGGATGGGCAACGATTTTCTATCGGCGATGCGAAAGATCCGTTTCTTCTTCTGTCATGCAGGTAGAATTTCCATTGAAACATCTTCTACGTTTTCGGAAAAACTCAGTTCTAAATTTTCAGCAATGTTTTAACTTACTCGTTGGCGAGGACGCATTTGAGTTCGGACGAAGTCCACGAGTACGTTGGGCAGGAACCAAGTGGACGGAATTGTTCGGAACTTGCTGTGGACTCGAATAGTAAGTTTCATTCACTGATTCCTGATTTCATCAATATATTTAAAACCGTTTGTCTTCTTGGATCTGGAGAGGTCGATGTAAAACTAAATTAGACTACTTCTCGTTGTTAGATCCTCATGAAAAGGAGCGTAGAATTAAAAGAAAATGTTGCGGAAGGAAAAAAAAGAAGCACAAAACGCCGTAACTGTCATGTGCAAAAAGAGAAAGTATGGATGGTGATCATCATTAAAATGAGGATGAACGAACATAATGAACCAGCTTTCTATCTTTCGATACAACGGTAGTTTTATAATCCTGCGAGATATAGTGACAATTATTGTAAACCGAATGCTGTCCTGTTTTTTTCCAAGGAAGTCTTAATGTAATGTTGAAAAGGAACTTACGGTACAATACTTCAGAAAAACGCAAGGCTCGAAATAGCGCAGTTCTGCAGTTGTCTCGAGTTAATTTTTTTCCTGCGTAATTTTCAGAAATGTATAAAAAGTCTCGAATACGTTTTGCCCAGTGAGAAAAATAACTAAGATATTACCGTATGTGCTGATGCGGTATGATTATTTGTACAGTAAATGACGTGGCTAATGAAAAGTGAATTTACGCAAAATTATGAACTGGCTTCCAAAAAAAAAAAAAAAATTCTTCATTCGTGAACAGACCGACCACACAATCCGATGATAGATGCGGGGGGAATAATGATCGCCTGCTTGCTGCAAAAACTCGCTCAACCGGACATGAAATACTCGGAGGTCTTCGAGTGGGTATTCAGCTACTTCAAAGTAAGCACGAAAANACTACAACTAGGGTCAAAATGTAAATTCTGATGCATTTTATTTTGAAAATATTTCAATTTTTATTATTTCTTAAAATTAGGAGGACGTCTTGCTTGAGTTCACATTTTTATCCAAATTGTAGGTTTGAAAAGTCTGGTGCCTGCCTCATTCGAGGGCACGTGGTAATCAAGTAAATACTGTAGTGCACCAGGTAATTGTGTTGATGATTTTGTTTTTCTCTGGCATGGCTCGACCTTTAATTGTCCCCGCATTAATCGCAGCCCGGGTAATCTAGGTTCTACGGCGCCTGATCATGTTGTTACAGGTGAACCTCAATAAGTTGAACCTCTCTAAGTCTAATTCCTCCCCAAGTTGAGTTTTTTTTCAAGCCCCTGTCATGAATTCCCTTAGAATCTATACATTAAAAACCACCCTAACTCGAATTTTTTCTCTAAAATATCTGCAAGTCAAATTTTCTGAGGCCTTCTGGTTATTATTTCCTTGATTAACCCTTGTGCGGCGAAGTTAGGATATATTCGCAAAATTTCCTGTCACTGAGAACTGGGAATTAAAAAAATGCCACTTTTGTACCAAGGTCTGAGTCGGGAAAAAGTCCGACATTTTTTTCTAATCCTGCAGAAAATTTTGGATGAAAAATGAAAAAAATCCCTCACTGGGTGGCGTTTTTTCATGCATTCCTGGTATAGGATTAGCATGGAAGATTCCTGAAAACAAAAGAGAATTCGTCTCCCGGATTTTTTCCGACTTAGGCCTTCTCAACCTGGGAGCATTTCAGCGACCTTGGGTCAAACTGAAATGCTCCACCCCCGGAAAATATCCCGAATTCGCCTCCCGATGGAAATGAACCCTCCGCCGTCCGAGGGTTAAAACAAATAATTTGATGCATCTTGAAAGGAATTGAAGGACAAAAATAGTAAATGAACCCCTGCCTCCAAGTTCAGGAAGGTGTAAACTCATTAAGGAGCTAGTTTTGGCACAGAATATCCTCATGTATGATTTCCCGCACTTTTTTCACTTCTCCTCACAACAAAAGTGTTTGTTTCCACAACTGGAAACCTCCAAAAATCAAAACCTCCTGAAGTAGAATTTTTTTCCTGGTCCCTATAGAAATTCGACTTATAGAGGTTCAACTCATGCAGTTACAAGACAAAAAGTTCAACTAATATACAGTATACTGAATCTTAACTTTTTTTCGCATATTTCTTGCCAAGTGCCGGGCAATGGAAGGGACATGTGAGGCGTTGGCGGTTGTTGCTGCCACGTTGGCCAATGGCGGCATTAATCCCATCACCGGCGAGACTGTGCTGAGCTGTGACGCCGTCACTGACACTCTGTCACTGATGCACAGCTGCGGCCTGAAGGGCTACTCGGGCAAATTCGCCTTTGAAGTCGGGATGACGGCGAAGGCCGCCGAGTCAGGGGCGATCATGGTCGTCGTGCCGAATGTGCTGGGATTTTGTGTATGGTCCCCGCCTGTGGACAAGTTCGACGTCTCGACTCGAGGCTTGAAATTTTGTCAGGTAACTTGTCCTTTTCTTCTTCTCTCTTTCTCTCACTCTAGTTGTGATATGAAAAAAGCCATTGCAATACTGTACTGTAATGTCGTTTCTGCAGACAAAAGCTAATTATTCCTCGTGGAACATCATTTTTTTTCACCAGAGAAAATTCTCTGATAAATGAGCCTTGGAAATTATTTCTGTATGGTATCCGACAATTAAGGCCTCGTCTTAAAGCTTGACATTTTTTTTAAGTGACTTTTATCTGTTTTCATCATGTCAATTCTTTTAATGGGGATCAGTATCTTTTATAAAGAAAACAGCTTCTTTATGGAACATAGTTTTCAACGGATAAAATGCTTGCCCTGAAAGTAGTTTTCATTCGGTTATTTTGGAATAATTAACATAGAAATCGTCTCCAAGGTAGCGGAAAAATTATGGTTATGTTCGTTGTAATATCAGAAAAATGTATGAATTTAAGGAATTAAAGAAGACGCGAACGTATTATTCCTACTTGCCTGAAGTATTTCTCTTAGCCTAGGATGATTAAATAAGAATTACTGTAATCATATCGGAAATATTTACGGAAATTACTGGCGGAAGAATATTTTCAAAATTGCGATACACACAGAATTCTCACGTTTTGCTTGCGATATTTCAACACTACAGAGCTTGAAAAAATCCAAATGTTGTTTCCCGTGAACTATTTGAAATGTTAATAGAATAACAGACAATTAAGGTTCGTCTTTATAAACCGTAATTGTGTGTCACGCGCATCGTTTTTTCTGATAATTGAGCAGATAAAAATGGGGGCGGTGCGCATCACATGCGGGGATGGGATTATTAAAAATAAAGTTTTAGAAATTCAGCACGTTTCACATTTGAATATAATGGGAATATTTTGATTGGAACATTAAAAAATCAAAACAAATGAAAATTAATTAAATCCAGGCTGGATCCATGCCTAAATTTTGAATTCTGCTGTTCCAGTTTTGAAATATTGTAGCTTTCCTGTTACCAAAAATGGATCGCGCGTCTTACTCAGGGGTAGAATTTCATCAAAATTGTACGGTTAAAAATTGGGGCGTGTGTGTTTTACTTGAAGGCGCGTGGTACTCGAGTAAGTACTGTACTGAACTGTTATACACGCCCTTGCTTGCCTGTTAATGCAAAACGAGTAGAAAACAATCGTTACTGTTGAGACTGCTGTCTCGTCATGCCGTCCTCGTCAGAAGAAATTTTATCGTGAAATTCCACCATGTATTTATTTTGCTTTATTTATTTATTTTTAAATCGTATTCTGCAGAAAATAGTGACTGCTTTCCCGTTCCATCATTTCGACAACGCGAAGCATGACAAGATGAAGTCTGACCCTTGCATGGCGGAGGTGTACGAAAAGTCGGAAGCCGTGGTGGCGATTCTGTTCTCTGCTGCTTCTGGTGACGTCACGGCGATGAGGCGCTTCTTCATGTCCGGAATGAATCTCAATACGGCCGACTACGACGGAAGGACGCCGTTGCATTTGTCGGCGGCCGAAGGCCACACCGAGTGCGTCGAATTCCTCGTCAAGACTTGCAAAGTGGATCCCAATTCGAGGGACAGGTAAAACACGGAAGTGGCTTCCTTCTGTTTTTTTTTTTTTTTGTTTTGCGTTATGATTTCCTTTTCCAACGTGTGGATTTTATATCACAACGCCGACACGTTATTTCGTTACTTTTGAAAAATGATAGATTATTTTATTCTATACGTGATCAAATTTCGGATTACCCGGAACATTTTTAAAACAATACGTTGGTATTTCGATTATACTCAGACCGATCAATTGGATGCTAGACATGTTGGAAAATGAAGAAGGTGAATTACCATCTACAGTACATATAAGTAAAAAACAATATCTTTTTATCTTTCTTGCGTCTTCGGCATCACGGAAATTTGACTGTGAAACATAAATACAGTATTATAGATTACAACTACACTGTTTAGTGACCAACTTATAGGGGACGTAAAATATTATGCCGCATTCGCTTGCATAATGTAAACGGTAAGATCACCACCGATTAAAGTAATTCATTTTTCGTGCCTTTAAAAATGATGGAAAATATGGTGATCCCTTTCGCGGATTCCCTTTCTTACGATTTCGAAGAGTCAGTTCAGTGATGGCTGCTCATTTGGAACTACGAATCTACGATGCATTTGTTATCCAGGCCTTCACGACATGCGCTTTCATTTTCTGTTTTACTTCTGGAAGGTTTTTTTTTTAACTTCATGCAACATGACGTCAGTACTGTAATATTTGAAGGACGACTTATAATTACGAATACTGTGCAATACTTTCTTCTCAGATTTCTTTCATCTTGAGCGTCTGGGCGAAAAGCTTTTGTACACTTTTTTATTTATTTGTGTTATTGTCGTGGCGGATGCTAAATGATCGTCCTTTCATCAGTCCTGGAACATACATATAAATGTAGTGTCATGCTAGTCTGAATTTCCTTTAATACTTGAGTTTTGTTCAAAAGGTTGAGTTAAAAATATCTTAAATCAAAAATGCATCCGAAGATACTAACAGAGAGAAAATACGCATAGATTTCGAAAACCGACTTCTGCGAAAAACTGCTTGAGAGATACGAGGACAATATTTACGGTAATTGAAACTACCTTTACATTATTCAAAAGATTTCCTCGGGATTCCTGACTCGAATCGCTTATATCGTTGAAATATAGTAAATTAATTTAGTTGTTTTAAAAACTCTTCATTCTATAGAATAATTGCAGTCGCATATCATTTCATCGACCTGTGTTACGGAATTGGATAAAAAAAATTAACCTAAACGAAGCCAGTGAATTTTAAAATTTTTAACAACAATACGGCAACGAACGGAATAATCATCTTTCATTTTGTTTTTCTTTGAATTTAATGCTACTTTCCTGTTTCATTACAGATGGGGACAAACACCACTGGATGATGCTAAATTGTTTAATCATCAAGGAATAATCGATATCCTACGACAAGCAGGCGCACTTTCGAAGGATGAAATGAAATCCCAAAATACGATACCCTCAAGAACGAACTCGATTTCTTCTGAACCAGTTACTATTGCATAATCGTAACATTAGAAAATGTTCATTTTCTACGACAAGCAGGCGCACTTTCGAAGGATGAAATGAAATCCCAAAATACGATACCCTCAAGAACGAACTCGATTTCTTCTGAACCAGTTACTATTGCATAATCGTAACATTAGAAAATGTTCATTTATAGCATTCGGCTTTCTCAATGCGTGCCATCATTTCTGTGAATTTCGACGATCGTGAACCATGACCTTGGTTTTAATGCTTGTTCAACTCGGGGCGAAAGAATGGAAGTCTCGGCGAGTTTTGTATGGGTGCCATACTGAAAGATATTAATAAATCACTCAGGATCTTTTCAAAAGGATATGAGTGCGAATTTATTATTTGGCAGTTGAAGATATATGGTCAGAAGTCAGAACTGTATGGTTGCTTGTTGGAAATAAATTTTGGGGTCGCCTTCAGCTTGCTTTTTGTCTGAATATACAGTAATTAATTTGACTTTCCGGAATCTTCGTCAAGATTCGGAAGTTTATTTTGTGCGAGAGTCTCGAGGAAAACCTATGGTTTATTCATCATGTCGGTAAAATCGCTTAATAAAGGAACTCAGCCGCTTTTCGCCCTACGTTGACTATTGACTTTTCCATTTGACTTTAAAAAGATGTACCAGCGAAAATATGTATGGTGAACACAGCATGATTGAAATTAAATACATTTAGTGAGAAAAACTGCTGTATTTCTCATTCCAGTACTCAACTGTAGTTTTTTGTATTCGACAGCATCACGTGAAATAATAAAATCAAATGTGAATTTTTTTTTTCTGCTGGGACTTCCGTATAGGTTTTTAATCGAATTGATGGAGGACCTTCACAGAGTGAGATTGAAACGAGTCGGTAAATTTTTGAAGAGCAATATCTCCTAAAAATTAGCAATTGTATGCGTTAATTTTATGAAATATCCAGCGAAGTCTTCTTTGTGAGATATTCCTTCGTAAATCTCCGCCTACTTTTCTTTGGTCCTCCCTGCAAATGTGAAACAAGCATTAAAATGTAAGAAAATTTTTACAGGTACTTCGTAGATCGCTTCATTTCCGAATCACAACACAACCATGTGAAATCTGACATTTCTCTATAGGGTTTAGTGAAACAGGATCTAATTAATTTCATCGTTGAAAAAAAAAAAAACCCGAGAGGAAAATGCGCACTTATTAATCTCGACCCCAAGTTTGTCAAGTTGTCACTGCATTTGCTTAAAGCAGGGAAAAAGAAAGATAGTTGCTCTTCGAAATGTATGCAATATTGTTGTTATCAAATATCATCTTCGGCGTCCCAAATTGAAACTGAAACCCTCGACGCAATTTCCGTCAAAATCTTGAAACCAGCCGTCGGGACACTGACGAGGCAGAGGATTCACGATGTTCAATATTGCGACGGGAGCCTTCGGTGTGGACGTCGGGTCTTCTTCCGAATTATCGTCACCTCGATTTTGCTTGTGCAATTTGCAAAGGAAATTGTGTCGCTTCGTGTTGATTGTCGGCAAGTACTGGCGCACAGGTGTCGGTGGCCTGTAATTCCTTTGCAATTCCGATAGCTGCTCGACCGGTGACGACAGGGCAATTCCGCACAATGTCACGATCAGCAGCAGCAAAGTTAATGCGCCAAAAACGAGCCGCTTGAATTCCATTTCTTGCGAATTTTACGCCCGGCAGCCGGAAACTCGAAACTTATCTGCTATCACATCACAGAATTCGTGCATCATAATTAGATTTTGCATTTTAGAAAAACGTCATCCATACGCTAAAAAAATGCCGAAACGATAGCATATGAAATACATTTTAAATTTAAAATCAATCCGTGTTATATTGACTATATTCAATAAGGTACAAAAGTATATACCCAGTGACTGAGTCAATGACAAGAATCGTCCTTGTAAACATGTTTAAGAAAATTTTAAAAGAATTCTCAGACGGCAACTTTAAATAATCCCTCCTTCGAGGACGAACATTTTGAATTTAAAGAATGATGCACCTTTATGAAAATAGGTGAAATCCAAAAAGTTTGAGCATTTTTAGGAAGCCGTTTATCATGAAACAGTTGAATTATTCTGGAGGATTAATTGGAGAAAATTAAAATGAGTTATAATTGTAAGATTATTCTAAAAAATGGGAAGGAAGTTGCGTAAGACTTCCTTCCAATGGTTCAAGGGGTTTGTTTGAAGATTTTCTCAGTTAAAATGCACAATTGGAATGAATTTAAATCAATAAACATCAAGACAAACAACAATTCACATTGTTCAACGCGAACATTTTGAGTGGTCTGAGAATTGTTTCAATAATCTCCAGAAAAACAGTATATGGGAACACGATTCCCTCTACAATCAAATTTTGCTTTTTCTGCTCCATTATGAATGTCACCGTATTTAAAAAATAGAACAATATTTTTGACTTTTTCCTGCTTCCATCAACTGCTGATGGATCTAAAGAAATCCGATTGAAACGGAGAATATATCTTTCCTCTGCTGTGCAACTTCATTGTAATAACCAGCGTGTGTTGTATCAAACAAAGTCAGGCTAACATAATGAAATAATTTGCAGAAAGGATGCATGAGGTAATTTCAACTTTTTACAATATTCAAACATGAAAAAGACAGTTGGGGACTGAGGCCCGTGCCCATGAATAATTATATCAATAAACTGCCCTGCATTCCTGAAACTGGTGCTGGGGCTTTTTGAGAGCCCAGCACCAAAGAACTTGCCCCCAAGAACCCTCAAAACTTGTACAACAATGCTGAACATCATATTTGATTTTGACGTAAATGGCCAATCAGAAAGCATCAAAGAATCCCAACCTCCACCAAGAAAAAGTTTAACGCAACCCTTTCTCATTAATGCGTGAAAGCTTCAAAAAGTTGAAATCAACAGCACATTCTTTTTTCAGAATATCGTTCCCATTCTTAGCTTCCAGCACTGCTTGAACCAATTCCTCCAGCAGAAATTGTGTGGATTATTGTGTGTGTGTATTTTTCTTGAAGAAGATGCTGAGCTGTTGACTCTTTTGGGACGTAAATAAATAAAAATTTCTTGGAGAATTTCATGATACAGTATATAAAAAATCTTATTATACAATAATTTTATTATATAATAAGAGGGTCCCAGCCAGTTCCAGGCTGATTGTGGTGTTTTACTCCTAAATTCTCTTTTGCTTGGGGAAATTCTCCAACAGTCACTGCTGTTTCACTTGATATTCTCATCTTCATAGTATTGTACAGTGAGACCCCCACATGTGGACACCTCAACCTGCAGACAATTTGACATAGGCACACTTATTTTATCATAAAAAATTAATAAAAAAGGCCCAAGATGAGGACACTGACTCAACATAGGGATGCTTTGTTAAAAACTGCAAATACATTTCAGGCCAAATTACAAGAAACAGATATTTCCAGCCCTAAAATTGAAGTAAGAAAAGTTCTTGGGCATTTCTCTCACCAATTCATCATCCATTTAGCTAATTGAAAAAAAATTACCTTCAGCAGAGAGGGACTTCCTTCTCTCTTTTTCACGTGGATATTATTTTTACAGAGATGCTAACATTTCTATGTACAGTACTGTACAGAGGTATCAGTATTCAATTCCCCAAATGCCCATATTGTGTTGAAATATATTGATTGGAATCAGTTTGAATTGGGAGACCA